CATGTGGCCGGATTGCGTGGACCCCGTTGCCGCCTTTTACTGAATGCCTTTTCAGATTCCAACTTTTAGGATATTTATCTAGGATGTGAGGTAATGTTTATCTACACTTTTAAATATAATTATCTATTTAATCTCCATTTTTTTCAATGTAGTAAATACATGTTTCTAAAAGGACGATGCCAAGTTTCAAATTTCACAGGTAATTCCTTTGCAGCATTTGTCGGCCTTCTACAGGTGTGATATCAATGATTTTCTAGTGGCAAATGTTTGGAGTTTCTGCTACTTTTTTTTTATTCTTTAAAAACGTTAAATAAAATATTTGTACTTTAACACAAATTTTCAAGACAGAGTATCATAAGGGCCTAACAATCTTAGGATTTTATTCCATAAGCTATTAAATAGTCTTGAGAGGTAACAGCGCGATCTTTGTAGTTACTTTGTCTATTCGTCGCATACTTTTCGCTAGTGTATTTTCTTTTCTCATAATAATTGAAATGCCTTCAAAAAAAAAAACATTATTTTTAGCTTTAGCCCAAAATGCTCTTTTTTATACCCTTTTAATGTTACTTATTTATGTATTTACTTTTTTTATTGTTTTGAGACGCTTCCTTGAGTGTTTAATATGACTCAAAAAAATGTGAATCTTCAGACTATTAACTCTAATGCTGTAAGAATTTTTATATGTTATATTTATTATGTTTTTTTTACTAAACAATGCGCACGCTTTCGGTTATGAAATTTTTGGCCTTTTAAATTTATACTTTTTATTTGTTTTATTATATTGCTATATTTAATATATTAGTAGTAACGATAATCCTTTTAAAATTTTCATTTCATCTTTAATTTACTTTTCAACGCACTTTATATATTTCATTCTAGCAAAATCTACTTCTTACATAGTATTAATTGGGATAATAATTATTAACTATCTTTTAACCTTTATAACATCATAGATAAACTATACAGAATTCTTTTTAATATAAAAAGACAAAAATTACTCCTTTTTTCATTTATTTATCCTAATAGTGAACCAAGAAAATTCAAATAAATTTAGTCGTGTGTATTGCGATACGCATATTTTCCCTATCGTTATTATATAAGACATCACTTTTTCCACTAAATGATTTCTCTATTTATTATATCATTATTTATTTCATTTTGATAATTTCAAAAAATCAAAGCACATTTTCATTGACACACCTCTAATAAAAAATTTTATTGCTGTAAGTATATATATTTATTATAAACTAATGAATATTCGATCTTATGATATTATTAATAGTAATTATTGTTATTATGTGAAAATTTATTTTTGTCACTTTCTGAAATACAAGAAGAATTATTTTGATCAATTCAACTTTATCTTTTTTTTTATGTCTTTATAATTTTATATTATGGTTTCAATTTACACTTTCCACCAGCTTTATTTATTTTATTTTTATTTATCATTTTAAAGAAATGAGAGAAAACATTCATAGGATGCTGTTTCATTTCTATATTTTTCCTCTTAAATAATAAATTTGAATGGGACACAGTTTTTCTTATTGTTTGGAATCTGAAAATTGTATCTAGAAGATTTTTTTTTGCCTAATTTGTTTTTTTATTATTACTATAGTAACAATAGTACTTACTATTAAATATATCTCAGGGATTAATTAAAAACCTTTGCTATTAATCATTTCAAAGTACATTTTTAAAAATATTCAATCCAAACCTTTATTAAAGTTTAGTTAAACAAAGGGGTATCTTTCGTATTCACTTTACCTAAACACATATTGTTAGACATACTTATATATATCTATAGAGAAAGCACTTGTTTAGTATTTTAGACATATCTTGTATATTCATAGCGTTTATTATAAGATTTTCTTTATAAAATATGATGATTGGCTCAACTGAAACCCCCAAAGATATTGAATGGGACAGCTTTGTGCAGCCAAATTTGGCTGTTATGGATACAAGCACAGCTCATTTGCTCTCGCAGATAACATTTTTACATAATGAGGTTGAACGACTTGAAAATCAACTGAGTAGCATGCGTTTAAAAGCAATGAAAGAGGTGAAAGAAGTGGCTTCTCACTATGACCATATTATTGAGCAAAAAGACTCAGAGATTACCGAATGGCGGGCAAGAATTGGACTACGAAAAACTGAAGTTGATCTTTCCAAACGGTGTGCCAATTTAGAGAAGCAACTGGCTGTAGCAAATGCTGAGAAAAGCACCTTGATCATGGAGAAGAACGACATCCAATCTAAGGTGCGGAAACTAGAATCCTCGATGAAAATGCGTACAAATGAACTGAAAGAGACCACCCGTCTTTCTCAGGAAGAGCATGCTATGGTAAGCGATCAAAATACAAAGCTTTCACAGATTGTGAAAAAATTATCGGAAGAAAACAAAAAACTTACCAAGGATTTAACGAACCTTCACCAGAAATCCATCTTGAGAGCAGACAAGGAGACAGGAATCGAACTACTCATCACCAAGGATTTTGAGGTTCAAGTATGTTTACCGGAAAAAATGGAAAAGGAATGCCAAGTCGAATCATCTTTTTTTCTTATTGATCCGGATTCACAGTCAATGCATAATTTATGTCATACTTTGGAAAGAAAAACCCAGGAGTGTGATGCCTTTCGAGCACAATTTGAGGATTTAAAGATTTTGCAGGAGGACACACTTCTCACGCTAGACACCACGAAGAAGCGTCTGGTGGACGAAATTGAACGACGCAAAATGATTACTAACGATGCAGAAAAATTATCTATTCAGGTACAATCGATGCAACAAAGGAACAGTTTTCAGGCAGCGACCGAGCGAGACCTTCTTGAAAAAAACAATATTCTGGAGGATCAAAAGCATCAGCTCCGCTCTGATATCGTGCGCTTGGAGCACGAGCATGGGACCTGGGAGAAGCTGCTTAAGCAGTATGAAAAGGATATGAACGAGTTGATTTCTAACAAAAATTATTCAAACCAACGACTTAGTCTTTTAGCAAATGAAAATGAAAACCTTCAAGCAGAAATTCAGAGTTTGCTAGCGCGTGAATCTCAACTGGCTTTCTCGCTTAAAGCCAAAGATGGAGAGCTTCAAGAGGTACTTATAGCATATCAGAACTCTGTTAAGGAAAATGAATCAATTTTAGGGAACCAACAATTCTTGGAGAGAGAATTAGATAGCGCTAGAGCAACTTTGGCCTCAAAGGAGGAGGGCATCATGTATTTACAAGAGCAACTTAATGCCTTGCATCGGCGAGAGCAGCAGCTTGTACTTGATCTCCAAGCATTTGAATATGAAAATGACCAACTCCACCGTAAGATTCTTCATAATGATGCTCTTTTAGGGAAACTGGAGAACAAGTGTCAAGAACATCAACAACTTATTCATGCAAAAGACCTCACGATCGAGGAACTCCATCAAAGTTTAGCCGAGATTAGCAAGCAAATTGTTATCAAGGAAAATGAATGTCTTCTTCTACGACGCCAATGTGAATCATTCGAGTCTGATGTTATACGATTACAAACAGTTGTTACAACAGAAGCCCAAAGGAATCAAAAAATTGAAGAGTCTAATGCACGCCTGGTTGCGCGTGATGTTCTTTCTTCCTCCAATTACTATAATGACCTATCTAACCAGGTTACCCTTCTTAAGCAAGAGCTTGATCTAAGAAATAAGGAGCTTGAGAATTTGAAGGAAATTCTTCGAATAGAATCCGAAGCTAGACAAGGGCTTGTAAAAGAATTGCAGATAACCAAAAGTAATCTTTCAGATATCTCTGAATCGAAGGAAAGACTAGAACGCATTGTTTTGGATCAGGCTAACACACTTAGTATGCTTTCCAAGTAGTGAGCTTTTCAAGAATTCCATAGACATATTTTTCTATAGATTGCTCATGCATACAGAAAGCTGTTCATAAAAATATTACCATTCTTTACATGAGTAGTTTTTAACTTCAAAAAAAACTTGAAAACTTAATTGCGTTATTAAATAATTATAAATTCCTTGGTTATTTGTTATTGTTGTTTTACACTATCTTATAACTATATTCGCAGCTTTTTCTACTGATATTGGGGGAGGTGGAAACATTAAATCTCTATTTGACTTTATTTTAGACTCTATACATACAAAGATGGACGCACTTTATGCAGTCGAGCAGGTTCATATACCACAGGAGTTAGGTGCAATTATGAAACAATACACCAAGGCCATCTTACGTGATGAACCAACGGATGTTTATAAATATAGTGCAAACTTTTTTGCCATTATATCTGGAAGATGCCCCCCTTTTGATGAAAATGGAGTTTATGTTGAAGATGAATATGCTTCAACACAATCAAACGACAAGGTAAATACACCTACCCCTGTCCCTAGACAAGATATTATTGGTGAAATTTTTCAAAAATACAGCAGAAACAATGCTGACACAGCTAGTCTAGAGGACCTTCCGCACATCCTGAAGGAGATTGTAACAGTTATGGGATTGAAGGAAGACGATCTTCCACCTGTTGCAGAGGTTGCCTCTGTTCTTCATACGGAGGGTGATTTTATAGATCTGCTTGAACTCAGACAACTCCTGTTCGAACCAGAGCCTTAGTTCCATTTTTATTTATTGAAATTAATACCCAAAACAACAGCTGGGGATGAATGCTTTTTATTTCATGTAAACATTATGTACGTGAGCTTTAAGTACTCCTGTCTTTATTGAGGTATAACTTTACCACTTACAAGGATATATGGAAATAATAGTGCTGAGTTGAGCCTTTTTTCTTATGCTTCACTTTAGCCTTTTCTCATTTCATTCTAGAGTATCTGTTTACTAAGGGATGGATAAGGAAAAAGTAGCTGCTAAGAAAGAAAATCTCAAAGAGCATCAAGTCTCTATCGCGCAGGAGTTGCATGTAGATGTTGATTTGAGGCGTCTCCATGAGTCATGTTCTCAGCTTTCTGAAGAGATTATACCGTTTATGAAGCGTGTGAAAATAGAACTGATCCGCACGAAAGAGGGTGAAATGAGGGACATCCCACAAGTTCCATTGTTTATTTACGAAAAGATTCCACTCCATGACTCGAAGCTTCTATTTTCTGTAGTCCTTCCACCCTATCCATACCTTCGAGTTATCCAGCTCCACCACTGCGAAATAATGGATGATGGTGTTCTTTCACTTGCTGAGTTTCTGAGGACGTATAAACCCAGTAAGGAAAAAAATCCATTTGGTATAGAATGTCTAGAGCTACCTGGATGTAATATTGGACCTCGTGGTGCAAGCTACTTGTCCAGTGTGTTTTGCGAAAACACCACAATTAAACGACTAAAGCTGGATTTTAACCCAATCGGTGACGGGGGAATTGAAGCACTATGCAATGGATTCCGTTGGAACACCAAGTTAGTGGATTTGTCACTACAGTATTGTGAAATTAGTCATTCTGGAGCGCCTTTTATTGCCGCTTCTGTCATTGAATGCAGCAATGTGAAAAGGCTATCTTTAAGGGGCAATCATTCCCTCCAGGATTCTGGTGTTTTATATCTTGCACGCGGTCTAAATGTTGGACTACAACTCGAGGAGCTTGATTTGGCAGATGTTGGATTTGGAGCAAGCGCTGAAACCATCGATGCCCTCTGCGAGGGCATTGAAAATAGCGCCTCACTTATTTCTGTTAACTTAGATCTTAATACGCTCACTCCCTCCGGGCCACAGTCATTGCTCACTGCTATTTCTGGAAATGAGCGCATTCTAAAACTTGTTGTGAGTGAACGTACCGATCCTGATGTATTCAAGAAAATTTTAGATGTCCTCTCAGCCAATAATAAGGGAATGAAAAAAAAAGAAAAACAATAGTTTTGTTCCGCTGCACTAAATGTAAACTATTGTTTTAAGCTCCTTATCAAGAATATCTCCTCTTAGAGTTGCATATCGATAAAGAAGTTTAGATTCTAGTTAAGTACAGTATTCCACCTCGCTGTTTGCTGATTATCATTTTCCTTATTCTTTTCTAATATACATATATATATATATAACTAACTAACTAACTAAATATATATATATGTATATGTCCAGCTTTATAGAAAATTGAAGAAGAAAGCCAAGTTCATCGTTTTTCACAAAATGGTACTCATCTTTGCACTAGAGCAGGAGGATGTTACTAAAAGAGAACGAATAAAACCGGCGATGTGCCATTTCGTTCCTCACAGTCAAAATGTCGCTTTAGCTTGCAACGCTGCGGCTCAAAAACCCTCAGAGGAAAGTATTAGTAATGCCTTATTATCAACTGGAGTTCCTAATAATCCGGATTTTTTCGTGACCTACTATGACCTTTGCATAGGAAACACTGATGAAGAGAGCCCTATTATTGAAAAATTTTACTTAAATATTTCCGTAAGTGTTGGGAAACGTGAAAATGTTACTATTGTTAGCCGTGGTACACAGGGGGACAGGTACTTTGAGAAGCTCTTATTGAACCTGTTAGACACCATCCAACTCACCGCTGAATATGCCATGCAGCTTGTGACGGATGAAATTGCCAAGGAAAAACAGATGCAGCGCCTTCTCCAACTTGAAGGTGATGGCCGTAGCGCTATGAAGGAATCAATAAAGGGATCTTCAGAATCCAATAGATCTCACACTGACATAAAAAGAGAAGCCTTACCTATTTCTAAGAAATTGATCCGAAAATTACAATCGTTGAACGAGACATATCCTCATAATCAGGGATATGTGACCAACGGTCGCAAATCTAAGCGTATGCTCTCGTCCTGCAGTCGATACACACTAATTTCGGCTTTGCACACTTCTGATCTGATTCCACCCTGCACCAAAGGTTCTCTTTTAACACCCGAGGCCTTTGTCAGGAATCCACCTGTGCTTCACTTCACAAGCCATTCCTGTTCTGTGTTAGGTAGTCGCGATAGAAATGTTCGAAGACATTCTTATCTTTATTCTCAACAAAATAGAAAATCCATGCTATTACTTCTTGGTAAGCTTCAAACCAAATGTCCAAATACTCCTCCTGAACCCCTCAAAGGAAATGGATGGGGTACATCCATGGTGACATATCACTTTGATGGTGAAAACTCTGTCATGGCTTTACCAGGTGTACCTTACTTCAAGGAAGTAATTCGGTCGTTCGCGCTCGATTTTTGGATGCGAACAGATTGCACTGTTTCAGAAGGGAAACGCGTCCTAATTCAGATTATGGATGGCCAAAATGAGGAGAAAGGGCAACTCTTTCAAATATCACTCAATAATTATGATAAAATGAAGGAGTCCATTCGACTCTTCGCACGAGATTCCGCAAATAGGGTCTTGGAGGCTCTTGTTTCGCTCGACGACTTCCCACAGGTCACTTCTGGCACATCATTTCATCACATTTTATTCACCATTCAAAGTCTCGACGAAGGATTGGTTCAATGCCTCATAGACGGCCGTCCGGCGAATGTTCAGATGCTTCAACAAGAACACCCTATTGCATTTAACTCATGGCAACATCGCTTGTTTATTGGAGGCTTCCTTAATGAAAATAATAATCCAACGTCAGTGTTTCGAGGGACCCTCTTGGATTTGCGCTTTTGGTCTGATGGGGAGGCAAAGAAACTGCTGCTTTTTTGGCGCCTTTTTGCGGACACGAGCGGCAAACTCATAGAGTTAACTAAGGTTATACCAGCTGATCATCATGAGAGCTTACTCTCCTTAAAACAAGTAGAGGAACCTGTTCCGAAAATTTCGCCGTATTTTGATGGTAATCTTTCAATGAATATAGGGACCATGTCACTATGGGGTGAGCTTATGCAGAATTGGCGCCTAGAGATAACCTTTCGTACCGATTTCTCCACGAGCATTATGTCACTTGTTGGTGTAACAGACCAAAAGTACAAGATGCAGGAGTTCGGTATCGTTTTTAATGCAGAACCACTTTTTCAGAAAGAGAGATTTCACTTTCACGAATTTAATGTGACTTTTTACCTTGTAGATGCGTTCGGTGCGTGCTGCTCTGCTCTTCTACGCGGTTCTGAACGACAAAGTCTCATGGATGGTGAGTGGCACACACTAGTTTGGAAGTGTGTGGACAGCGAATCTAACAAGTTCCTCGTTTTAGTAGATGGAGCTCCACAAGAACTTTTGTATGTTGTTCGTGAGGGACCTAACCGTTTTGTCGAATTTGACAACTGGATTTGCGTAGGAGGGCATAATGTTCGAAATTGGAAGGTGAAACGTCCCTTCATGGGTCAAATAGGATGCTTTTATCTTTCACTAAGAGGCAAAATTTACACTACATTGAACATGGATGAAGGGCCTGGGGCATACGTTATGCAGGATCGCTCTGGTAATCAAAATCACGGACTGCTTATTAATCCCAATACCGGATCTGTTCGTAAGAATGATGTTCTTTGGATGCCTGGCAAGGATAAAAAATCCGAAGAGGAGAGATCAGATAATCGCAAGCTTGATTTGATTGTATATAAAAATAATCACGTGTCAATTGCCGTGGTAGTCTTTACGTGCGTATTTGACTCTACCGGGACACCACGAGAAGCCATTGAAGATACAATTCATGGTAAAATATACAGCCCTCAGATAATACCTGACGATAGTGATGCAGAGGGCAACTCCTTCAAGAAGAATTCCTGGCGTGCATGGCGCACTATCCCCGATGAGTGTTTCAAACCACTGGATACTATTGTGCAGCTTGAGGAATCATTTAACGCTGTGTTGTCTTCACCACGTGTACAAGGTCATCTCATGATAGTCGTCAGAATAGGCGACTGTAATGTATGTTTGCTTCATTTGTGCGACCCAGAGCTTCCCCCCGATGCTATCTACGATCAAAACATGCTTAAGTGGCGCTACTCGTATGTTGTTCAGGGCTGCCACGGCCGCCGTGAGTTAATGTTAAATCGTATGGTTGAGAGCGTGGAGAGTGTTCTGCTGGCAACAACCATGACACCCAAGGTGACTTCTCGCCTTGGACCTCTAAACGCTATTCCTGGAGTTCCTCTTCTTTCAGATGATATTGCTAAAACGTTAGTTGGGAAGGGAAAGCCATGGTTTTTGGCCACCATCTTGCATTCGCAGCTCCTAAATTTTAAATACGGTTCGAACTTACACGTATTTCATCGTTTGAGTCCATCTATGACATCCGACCAGGCGGCTTCGATCTTCTTATTTAGCAAGCGTCTCCATGACGGGGCTAGAGAGAAGGCTTCCATTGTGATTCAGCGAAATTGGCGTATCAAACTGGCGAAGGATGATGCACTAAACCGTAAGCAAATTCGTGAGATCCAGGAGCGAAAACTTGAGGAAATACGTGTTTTGCGTACAAACCCACAAGTACAAGCAAAAGAGGAGTTGTATGCGCTTCTGATCACGTTTCACCACGTAGCATGCCCTGCGTTGCCACCGATAACGGCTGACACCGCAGATTTGGAGGAAGTCCTTAGTAAACAAGGTTATAAAGTAGAGCTTCTCGCAGATCCGACTTTTACACAATTGATGGAAGCGATTTCGCACATCGATCCCTCCAACTCCAACTTCATTTACATAAGCGGATACGGCGGTCAGTTGAGTCTACGACAACCTCTTTTAGTGGAATTACATAGCCTGCACATCACGCTTGAAGAAGGGGCTTCAAGAGCTGCAATAGAAAGGGAGGAGGGTGCAGCCTTCCGCTCAATGATATTGCAGGCTAAAGATGAAAATGAGAGTATCAAGCCTCGTAAAAAAGAAAAAAAGGGTAAATCAGCAAAAGCAGTTAGCTACAAAACGAAAAACTCTGAAGAGCTGGAAATGAAGGTACAACAGCAAGCCATTATGTTTCAAGCTGCTCAGGCTGACTTTGAACAAGAGTTTCTTTCTTTCCGTAGTGCGTTTCTCACAGAGTGTGAGATGGAGTTTCAAATGATTCTTCGCGTAGCAAGGCAAGCAGTTGTCATGACCCAAGAGTACGAACGAAAATTTAAGCATGTGGAAACACCTCAGAATTATTTGTATCCACGTGAAAGTGTACTGATTGAACCGTATGCAAACACTGCAATTAATGTTGAGACTATCCTGCGAGCTGCCCTTCGTCAGTCTTCTGTGCCAGGATTTCAGTGTGTAGTTGCAATTGATCTTGAACCAGTTGTTTCTTTTTCCTGTGGCTTTGCCTGTCTTGCCAGCAGTACGGGTAACATCCTTCGGATGCCGTATGGGCCTCAACAGCGCCGCATACTTTCGTGGTCATTAGTGAAGGCTTTTGATGGGCACGCACCAAGAGTACCAGCTTCTATATACTCTGTTCTTTCAGGCGGTATTGACACCAACGACTCTCAGCGGGACTGGAAGTCTTTTGCAAAATATATCGTTGCTAAAATGAAACCTGCATGCTCTGCAGAAAGTTACAATGCTATGTGCTTCGAACTTGCAAGGGAAGTACCCTTCGTAGCGGAATTAATCCCAGTACGCGATGTGTTGATGACAGACAAACTCAAAGAGCGTGTGCGGCGCGAGCGCGATTCACAACTTGTTACTGCACAACTCACTTTTGGTGTTATCAGTACCAAAGTTCAAGGGGATATGTTTTCTCTTTTCAAGCCCATTTTGGATAGCGTTGCTATCTCTGAAATCACCCTTACAAATACTATTTATCTTATTCTTTCAAATATGTCCCGAAGCATCGATGGTGTCTTGCTTAGCGATGTAGCCGCTAAAATTGAAGAATGTCGTCCGCTTGAATCAGATGGTCTCAAGTTCATCGTAGGAAAATCGCACCATGGTATTGAAGTTCGTTTCACCCTACAAATTCCCAAACAAAGACTTGCTTTGAATACATGGCTTAGTAACATCACGGTGCGTAGCCTGAAATGGCAAATTTCACTGAACCCACTATACGGATATAATAAATTAGATGTGAGTTATGTTGAATATTTGTACTCACTCAAAACAACATGTTATCTACGACACTATAGAAAATTGTTAAAACAATCATATATCAACCCCATGCCTAGTCATTTGGTTCGTTTTCTAAGTACGCAACTCGTTAAGACCAAATAGGAGTTTTATGAATTTTTTACTTTGTGTAGTTACTTCCTTTTGTAGCATTTGGAACACGCAAAAATATGAAATGACCGCATCACTCTATTCACAACTGGCAGAGGGACATATTAGAAACTATGAAAACATGCAAACGGAATTTAATATGTAAATAAGCAAAGCTTTTAAGTACTTCTCATTTTAATGTTTCTTGTTATTCTCCTATGTACTCTATCCATATTGTTGGACGATGACAATATCTTTTTTTTCTCAGTGGTTTGAGGTTTACTAATGCTAATTCATCTCATGGAATACCACCTTCACTCGTATCCTTTTCTAATGTCTCTGGTTTGATTACACACTATAGTATAGTTGATTTTGTAGTCACATTTTCTATTAATAGAAATGAAATTAGTCCGGCGGGCAAGAAAAAGCATTCGAGAGCGACGCATGAAGGCGTGCATGAATGATCTAAACTCGAATCTTTCGAAAATTGAAATGCGCGTGTTTAGTAAACAAAAAAACGAACGAATAGCTAGACATAAAGAATCGGGCGTACCGAATTCAGTTCCGATAAGTGTTCTGCAGGGTAAAATGACCCCAGAATTATATATAATTGAATGCCATCTGCATGAAGAGGCGGGCCTAGCGAAGCCCAGACCATACCCTGAATATCAGAGCGATATAAGGAAAGCTAATGAGGATAAGCATCGTGTCGGATTTCTAAGCTTTGCCACCATTGTAACAGCGATTCGCCGTATAAACAGCAAAGCATAAGTGCAAGTGAGGGAGGCTATTTAATCTCTCGAATTGACCTCTAATCAATAGTGTATATCACTTTCTACCTTTTTTCCCTTTAAAGAAGCATTGCGCGGTTGTATTGGAAGGATCTCATGGACCCAAAGGATTGCAATCGTGTTTCAACTAATATCATTCCTATGGTATTTTACCCTTTCTATTCTAACTGTGTTCCCTCATTGTTGCATCTACAGGACCAACCAAAGCGCATGTTATGAGTAAAGTAAATAGAAAGCAACCTTGGGACAAACACCTAATCTAAGGAAAAGTGATTAAGTAGGAAGAGGTGAATGTACATAATGCATTCATTTCAAAGGTGTAACGATTTTACATTTAGTATACTGTTGAAATATGAATAAAAATGTTGTGATTAAGAGATTGCAAATGATGCACTAACATTACACCATAATTTTTATCCATAATAATGGGTATTCAATGCTTTGTCATTGAATTTCAATTCAGGTTCGCCGTTTATCCTTCTGGAAAATGTCGAAACCACCTTGATTTTGTACTTCTGACATTTAAAAGCGTGTGTCACCGGAAGATCCATGCTTTGACTTAAATAACAAGGTCTAGGACATCACCCAATTCATAAATCAAAATTCTGGTGTTTACAGACACACTGCTTGGTTTAGGAGACAGAAACAGCGTTCTTGCATTTAATGCTATGAGGCATTCTCGAAATGACATCAAGGATTTAAAGAAATGCTATTGGGATTAATTCACACAAGTGATAGTGTTGCGATTTCAGCGCCTATTTAATCTTACATTTCATTTTATTATGATATTGTACTACTAGTTATTGTTTACTGAAGTTTGTTCTTTATAAGCTTATGTGAGAAAGCATACTTCCTTCAAAGGAAAAAAGTTTTTTTTTGAGTGAATCTCAAAGTGTGTTGGTTCACATTTACTAAAGCATTTGATTAAATATCTACGAAGTGGGTCCCTCAGACTTATATTCCTATGATTAACTTTTCTCCGTCATTCACTTCATATTAATATACACTATTAGTCAGAAGGAAATGTTAACTATGTTTTTTTCAGTTCTTTAATATGTGTCCTTTAAATATGCACACTTGGGGTAATAGTCAACCTTTTCTCGTCACTTAGCCTATATATGAATAATTAAAAAAGGTGTTACTTTCAAAAAAAAAGATACTTATTCTTTTTTGTATCGTCACACATAAATAGATCGATGGAATCCGCGATAAAAAAGGCAAGACATGAATTATTCGATCTCCCATCTAGTGATATAGCAATTAATAATGAAGAATCTCAAAAGTTATATAGGGAATCCATCAAAGCTCATCCATTTCAGGACAATGCACATAGTATCGCAGATATTTATGAGAATTGTGTATTTCGCGATGGAAAGGACAATGTAATTGGTGTCCTCGTAAAGCGAGGCTTACCAGAGTATGCAGCCAAGATGGCAGCAAATGTGCTTCGTTCAGCAGCCACAAAAACATCTCTGCGGTCAAATATTTATGGTGGTTCATCACCAAACAGTGGAATTGCTGGTTATTTTGATTATCGCGGCTCGCCTATTGAGTTCAAGTGTCGAAAAACCGTCTTCACATATGAAAATGAGTGCCGATGGAAAGATGTGTTTCCTATGGTGGACTACATCAGTCAGATCTATAAGCACATTATGCCGGATCAATGGGCCAAACAGGATGCTGCTATCCCAGATATCACGCGTATTCACAACTCACCCTTCTCGACATTGACTATTAATTCACGCTTCCGCACCGCATCTCATAGGGACACCGGGGACTTTGACGAAGGCTACGGTTGTCTTGCCTGCCTGGAGGGTAATTTCAAGGGTCTTGCACTTACGCTCGGTGAATTTAAGGTGAACTTTGTCTTACGTCCACTGGATGTTTTACTTTTTAATACGCATCTCTTGCACTCCAATACGGAATCGGAGTTGATGGACGATAACTGGACTAGACTGACTTGTGTATTCTACTACCGTACATCACTCGGAGAACCTGCAAGTTACGCTGAGTACCAGCGTCGTCTTCAAGCTGCCCTAAATTCAAAATGCTCTAAACCACCAGTGGTTCGCTCTATTGTGGTGAAAAGCAACGGTAGCACTACGTGTAAGCCTTCAATATTGAATCCATTGTGCTTAACACCATTTTGGTTCACAACTGTTCTACACTGCTTGTCGCACGCCCGTGACAAAGGTTTTTCTGTCCATCAATGGCTATTAAAGGCTGGTTCTTTTGCTGAAGAACTGCTCTTCGGGGAGCCGCTATGCGTTTTAGATGGAATTCCAGAACGCTCTGATGACGACTTTGAGCGCGTGCAATCATCGGATTCTTTCTTCAAAGTGCCTGAAACGGGTGGGTTTAAGGAATCCAATTTTACCATGCAAGCGGCTGCCTTGAATCAAAAGTATTTGGAAAGAACTCAACTTTCCGAACTATTGAACCCAGAATTACTCGATATATGGTTGAAGTCCCGAAATCATTGGTTAGAGTTAGTCAAGGAAATATGGCTGAAGCTGAAGGCCCGCAATCCGGAGCGCACCGACTTTTTTTGGAACAATCGTTCTGAAATGAATGCGGCTTTTTTCGATTTGTGTGATGTTGCTAAGCAGGTGATGTTGAGTCTTCTAGATAAGGATAGCGCCACACCTATGGAGGAGCAAGTTTTCTGGGCTTCTTATGCCGCGCACCTCAGTTCAGCATGCAGAGACGAGCTTCAGATGCCAGAGGATGCGATGTCTCTGAAAAAGCTCAATGTGAAGTTGAAAGACTTTCAGTTTGGTGGGGCGCGCTACTTTAAAAATATGCCCATTGAGGAACAGATGCGTAGACTCAAGCGGAGAGAGGAGCTTGAAGCAGCACGACGTAATAAAGGTGTATCCACTAAATGTAGAAATTGGCTCCTGAATGATTCATTTGACTACCAAACCGAGGATGAGTCCGTGGACTATGATAACTTGAATCAAATCTCACCTGAACTCAACGCCAAACGTGTCACTCAGGTCTTAGATATGTCGTTAAAGACCTCGGACAACAGAAACATTGTTGAGATTCTCGTGGTTCTTCCGGCACCTCGGATCTATTACGAGAATGGCAACCATTCTGTCGATCACAAATTCCATGAAAACTCTGAGTGGTCGCGACTTTTAGCGAACCCTGCTGCGCAAAGATTAATGAAACTTTCCGGAAAAGCAAAAAACGTATTACCTGAGGCTATTTTAAATGACAAGCTGCACATCATCTACGCATTTCAAGGGAATGAACCTGCACAGTCTTTTGATTTTATTGTCCTGCAGCACGTGTTGACTACGATGAATGATAAAGTGGCCAAGGAGTATGTTGCTAGTGTAGTACAAAAAACAAAGGGCTGTCTTTTGTTGGAGGAAACAGACGCATTCTGTAGGCGTCACTACGTGCTTAAAAGAGAGATACGGGAAAGATACCAGTCTGTCGCTATGGATTGCTTTCAAAGACTTCATTACATTAAATATGGTGTTTATAAAGCGATTATTCGCACAAATCCTGGTATACAAGAGCTATTTCACGATGTCGCTGTTCGATACAAAATCCAAGGCTCGCCATTAAACACAACACTTCTCATGATTCCTGGAGGTCAGTAGCTTTTTTATGTATCTTTTTTTCGCGAAATACATATTTATAGAGAAAAAATATTCGTATATATTTTTCCCCCCTCACATAGATAAACTCTTAGATAGTTGACAACATGTACAATCTAGTTCTTGTGTCATCTTTGCCTATTTATTCACGTGAATTTGACTTCACTGGGGATCATAAAAACGTATATGAAAACATCTCCTTTTCATATCTTTAAAGGAGGAAGGTGAGGGATTCGAGTCGAAGTTAAATATCCACATTAATTAATTTATTTTATCTGATATTTCCATTTTGTTTATGATGTCTTTAGGACGTGTAAATTCCTGAAACTAGTAGATCACAAACGACTTGGTAATAAAGAGAGGATTGTGTTTTAGTGTATTGTATGTGCAACAAATGTATTGTGCGGTAACGGCCTATGTGAATCTAATATATAAACACAATAATGTGAGTTTTTGACACAAAGACTACTGTGAAGTTTTGTGTGCACGTATAATTTGGCAGTAAATTTATCCAAGAAGGGCACTTTCTGCTGTAGTCCACACTTCATTCACATATTGTTATCAAAGATTATCGTACTGCTAATTTCGAGATGTCAAAACTATAATTTAGATTGCATTTTATTTATTTTTCTAACTTTAATTTGTTTTACTAAGTTCTTCTCTATTATTGAATTAAGTCCTAACATTCTATTTTCGATCCAACAATTGTTAACGACATTGACTAAAAAATCTGTATATTCGCGGTATCATTTTGCTTCTTATTTGATCTACTTCAATTAAGTACAGTTCAAAACACTCAAAGTTTTTTATTCTCAATAAGTTTAATCCCCTATTCGTTCCGTTCAGCATGAAATTACCCTTTTGTACCCACAGTTTGTTTTTGTTGTTATATGCGTAATGTTTAGAAAATGTATTAGTCACTTTAATCTTATATCCCTAAATCAAGTCGTGGGAATTGTGCGCTCTAGGCAGACCAATGATCCCCTCACCGCAACCAAAATGTTAATCGATGTTCGATCTACTGCGGAAGTCGCTCAAACCGGCATGATACCAACTGCCGTCAACATTCCGCTTTCAATCTTGCCTGATGTCCTAGACTATGACAGCAAGGATTTGACCAATAATGATTTTGAAGAAACATTTGGCGTCAAGAGACCCGTCAAGGGTGGTACAGTCCTCATTTTTTATTGTGCACATGGTGTACGGTCTGCAAAGGCAACTGAGATAGCAGAGCAACTTGGTTTTACCGGTGCTCTTAATTTTTCAGGAAGTTGGGCAGAGTGGTCGGGCGCTTTTTGTGGCAAGGGTAAGTAGTATGATGCAAGTCGAACAAAAACGAAGATGCCCCACTTTTGCTGTCCCCTGGAGGAATAAAAGGGTATTGTGTTCATTTTTCAGCATCTTGAATATCTGGATATCTTTTACTTTTATTGCTATCACTTACTAATTTTTTGTTCAAGGTTAAATGGTTACCTATATTTTCATCCTTTATCTTTATTTTTAGTTATATTTTCACAAAGTGTCTAAGGGTCCTTCTTTCTCCTTTCACGCATAGAGTTTAATCCTTTTTTTACCTGCTCTTTGAAATCTACAAAAGCCACTGAGACTAGTCTTGAGTCGATGTCCCAGAGCTCATACAAGGCACAGTTTGAGTATTCACTTTCTTATGATGAGATTGATGCAATTGTTAGGGCAAAAAAAAACGGAAATGCCGCGGAGGTAATGATTTTAGATGTGAGGGATGCTTACGAACGCAAGGCCAATGGTTACATTCCTTACTCCATAAACATACCTATACCAGAGATCAGAGATTTACAAAAAATGAGTAACACCGCCTTTCAAAAGCGATACGGTGTAAATAAACCCCAAAAAACTGACCCGATCGTACTTTATTGTAGCAAAAGTCAACGTTCTGCTTTTGTGAATGAACTTTTGAGAAACGACGGATATAAAGTTGTTACATATATTAGGGAGGGCTTCGAAGGGTGGCATAAACGCCAAAATGCGCAATTGGACGATGACCTCTAGCTGTTTGAAAAGGTATTCCCTCATAGTTATATTTTATCGTTATTACTATTTGTTTTGAAGTTATTTGTCTGGATTTTTTTTCTTCATTCTTGATGTAATCTACACGTTACGCATAACGAGCGTTTTCCTTGGTTTCCATTTCTTGTGTTAAATATTTTTCCTAATAATACCAAAATACTCGAGGAAATAAGTTGCGAAGAATAACTTTCAATTAGAAGTATTTTATGTTGCATGTAGTCATACCCAAATATCGTTTATATTCATTACTTCTGAATTAAATCATCCTTTTTCACTTTTTCTTCTTTGCCTTCCTTTCTTGATGGTTGTGTTTTGAAACTTTGTTTTTTTTCTTCAAAGAAAGTTTCACATCTTTAGCTGAAAGAATTCTACAAATGAGTTCTCGCTTCAAACGTGTCTTTTTCTTGACACTTACTCGAAGATCTGAAATGGATACTTCACTTTACTCTGTACACTCAACTATTAGGCAGTTCACCACGCTCCCCACTAGAGAAGAAGTACTGAAGGCATACGATGTATTAGGCGTAAGTACAAGCACCCCCTACGCCGATATAAAAAAAAGTATATTAGCTTGGCTAAACTTCACCATCCTGACATAGTATCTGGGATGAAAAGTGCCAATGCCAATAATCGCATGGTCGATATTAATAATGCTTACAACACTGTCAGCCGCTTCCATAAGGCGGGACATGGACTTTCACCATCAGACGAATCTTTTGAATTCTCAGAGGGTTCAACTTGTGGATCATCGTTTTTCAGTAACTCCAACCACAATAATGTACACTCGGATTCATATGGATCAACATATCAGCCGTGGTATGAGGAACTTGATCCACTCTTGTATGAAATGATGTGGGAAGAAATGCGATGCCCAAATGATGAGGGCATCAAGATGCGTGCTCCTATGGCCCGCGATGATTTCTATCATTCACATTTTAATACCGAACGACAGAAAGGTAGTAGCGGTGGTGGTGCCAGCCAACGGTCTCGGCATCAATATCACAACCGGCATCGCGTCAAAAAACATCCAAATAGCGAAGAGTCTTCTAAATCAACTTCAATGTGGCCTGAGGCTGATTTGAAGGCCATGGTTAACATGTACCAAGATGGAAAAAGCTTCGAATTTATTGCAAACGCTCTTGGTAAGCAAGTGCCACAGGTCATAGACGAGTTCAACCATTGGAGTGATGGTCATAAAAAAAATCACAAGACCATCAATTTCAACAGACAACCGTATTCCTCCCAGTGGAAAGGTCCATTCTATCATGCTGAATTTCCAGACGGCCCACCATATGACTTCCACGATGTTGTGGACGTTGAAGACTCAGCCGAGGATGACGATATGTACGGGTATTACGTTGACGAAAACTGCAACGTTGCGAACCCATTCAACGATTTCGGCGGGGATGGTGGACCAATTCCATATAATGGTGAGCATTTTATCAATGGTGTCAAGCCCTCGCGTGCGTTCCACATGAACTACGGAAAGGGCTTCAATAAGCCTCATAGAAACTGCTCATCTAACAGTCGATGGAAGAGAGACAAAAGCAATAATTCTTACACAAGCAACAATAACTCTCGACGAAAGAACTAAGATATATTTGAAGAATATAAAACTTTCCCTAATGGAAAATATCACAGAGTTTTTGTATGCTGGGGCGGTGTGAGCGTTAAGCGGTAGCCTCTTTTTTTTTTTGTGTGTGTGTGTTTCTTAAAAAAAAAAGGCTTCACTTCATGGACTTTGTTTGATTTTATCACAACAATTACTTTTTCTTACAAACCAATGCTCTTTTATATATATAGCTTGCATGCCTACACGCTTTTGTGATAGGAAAGTAGTTTTTGTATGGATTTGGGATTGAGCACTGAGGACTACTTAGATATACATTGGATAGCTAATTACAATTTATAGGAACTATGTCAAGATGCCCTTGTCATTTTTTTTCTTAAAGTGAACATATTTTCGTGACACTTGTTCAGAGACAAGGGAATGCAAACATTTCTAGATTTGCCTTCCCAACAGTGTTATGTCTTTGTTTGCTATGATGGCCTTTTTGTTGGCTTGATCTACGAAGTGTCACCTACTTTACTATCAGCCCGTAAGAATTCGAGTGTGCTTACTCGCAGAACTGTGCGAGCAGATGTACTACACGCCGGGCTTACCGGCGCTCTTTGTCAGGATTTTCGGTCTGACCACCAGTTTCTACGCCCCATGGTTGGTGTTGAAACTGACTTAAAGATTTTATCCATTTCTAAACAGATGATAATATAAATGAGATCGATAGGGTAAAAGTGCTGTTCCCTGGTTACCTTCTTTTTGAATTGCTTCTACACAATTTTATACTGTGACAACTATGGAAGCGTCGTGGAAGCCATTGCCAAGCTTCCGATCCATCCCATGACTTTTGTTCAAAAGGAAACATCTGTCTCAATTTCTTGCGCCCAAAGTTACCAAGTCCCAACACAAGGAAATGTTCATGGTTGACACCATGACATGTGTAACAAGAGAGATGCCTTTAGAAATATACCCTTAACGCACCTTGATTGACGTGACGAGCAACATTGATATAGAGCACATTAATCTCAGCGTGCATGTTAAGAATTCAATAGATGCAGCCATCTTAATATGAGAAATATCACTCTAATTACTTTGTCATGCTCGTCGAGGTTGAAGAAAGGGATGATTGCGTTAATTGCCAACTCTGAAGCGTTGGTGTATCATGAGTTAGACAAACTTATTGAAAGACTTCAGCTGAGCTTCATTATTGGAATAATCACTCTTTGACTTTCTATCATTATTAATTCCCAATACCACATCGTTGTGAGCTTGGACATCATGGTAAAGCAGTTCTCACTTCAAGAAGCGGTACTGGCACTTAAGAAACTGCTACATTAGAGACAATTGTGTTGCTTTACTCTTTGTAGATATTTTTTGTATCCCTACTTTTATCAGTTATAAGATAGGGCATAGAGAAAAGTCTCGCTCAAAGGCAGTGTCGCGGCAGGCCAGGAGTGCACACCTCGGTATAGCTTTCTAAAGTGTGAAAAGGTAGAATTAGAATGGATTGGGTTTAACTGTTTTCTAAAAGGTATGTATTCGTAGGGTTGCATCTGTAAAGGGAAAGCGAAAGGGTGTGACTTTGTGAATCAAGAAAAACTCCGATGCATTATTGGGGAATCTCCATTTTCAAAAGCCGCATAAAAGGGAATTAGTGTGCACGTCAATAGTCATAGGAATTACACTCATCACAATTTACTGTTTGGAGACATGTGGTAATTTTATTTGGTGTTGTTATTTTCTACCATATAAACGGGAGCCCCTTTCCTTTTCCAGCGCTGTTGATAATTTTCCCATTTATCCATGTGATCATATTGAAGCTTGGTTGTACAATCGCAAGTTTCCTTCTTATCAGCTTATGAGGAGTTGTATAACTGTCACCTCTATTTGTATATTTTTTCCATTTCTTCATTTTGTCTCTTCAGTGTTATAAACTGTAAATTTCCTTTAAATAAGAATGTTTTTAAATTTACCCCTTGCATCGACACCGTTCAAATTAGCCAGACAGATAACAGCGTTCGCATTTCAATCATCGAAGGCAATCCGGGATCCTTCAAACGCCGATGCGGTGGCGGCGGTCGGGGAGCTATCGGCGCTTCACGCACTGGAGAATATGAAGTCTCGGATGATGGCCGATCTCACCGGCCGAGCCATTCTTCTCAAACAACCCCTCGTAACAGATGAGTTGCTTGCCGTTGCGGAGAAACAGCCAGTGCACACCTTTGGCCGCCGTTATGTCGCCTACATGATTCACAACCGGTTCAACCCCGATGACCGTACCCCAGTCTTGTATATTGCTGATCCTATTCTTCGGTATATCATGACACGGTATCGTCAATGCCATGATTTTTTGCACACTCTATCGGGTTGCGGACGAACAGTGGAGGAAGAGTTAGTGGTAAAAATTCTTGAATGGCAACACACCGGACTACCTCTGGGTTTTCTTTCGCTTCTTGGGGGAGGCGTATATCTTACCAGTGAACAGCGACAAAAACTGAAGATCTACTGGGAATGGGGAAAGGAAAATTCACCGCGGTGCGTCCACGGAGAAAAGCAGATACCTTTTTATTTAAATATCGACTGGGAGGCGATGATATGTAAGCCTTTTGATGAGGTCGTAGCTATTACAGGTATAACACCGCTGCCTGAGTATTTGAAAAAGTCTCGTGAACGCAGGAATTGAATGAAGATATTAGTGTGAATAGGTTTTATGATCTAGTGTAGAAGCAAAAGGGAATGCATGTCGAGAGCTTTATGAAAGAAAGAATGATATTTTTTAAAAATATTATTTTCCAACAAATTGTGTATTTTAGTTTTCATCGGTGTATTTCACTTTGCTCTATCCTTGATCTTTTTGTCGCTTTTTTACACCATTAGAGACTTTACTAGTTATTTCTTAGCTATTTGTGTTGTTTTCAAGATATACAACTTCGAAAGATGGAAGACTACCCCCAAAAAATGAAGCTTCTCCGCGAGCTATACGATAAGATTAGAAACGGTGAGGATGTTCAAGAAGCTGATTATATCAACGCCGGCATTAAGAATAAGGCCCGTCTTAAAGACATCGAAAAGGAAATCAGCAGCACCAAAAAGAAGGTTTCCCATTGCATTAAACAAGAAATAGCTCAACAGGAGGAAGCTGAATTAGTTCAAGTTGCTATGCGAGAAAATTTGACGATTGAGGAACTCAAGGAAAAACTTCAGGAAAAAGAACGCAATATTGATATTAGTAGTTCAGATAGGACTCTTCGTCATAGACAACAAAGGAAGGATATTGCTGATGCACGAAATAATAAAACTAAACAGTATGAGATGGCTACAGGCGAACACAATCTTTATGTTGAGTACATTTAGTATAAAGAAGAAATCTCTTCGTATGAATTCTGCCCTTTTCATATTTACTAAGGTTCTACATTCTTAATACTTGTAATCAATAACTTTACCTAAAAATGTTTTATCTGTAGTGGTGATCTCTTTTTTGATTAAAAATTAATCAGATTGACACACTGCCAACCGATTAAATATATGAATATTCTTTTAACTGGATATGTTATTCAGGTATAACAAGTCAATTTATGTCCACTGTTTCGCTCTTATGTACTATATTATTCAAACTTTTCTCTAAGGCATTTAATTAAAGACAAAAAAGCGAATGAGATGTAGCTGTCGTGTTTTGACTTCCCCTCTTTCGAGCCTGGAGTGGATGAATTATCTAGGTTTAAAGAACGGGTTGATATGTCAAAAGATTCGGTCGTATGCACCCGCTGGAGGGAAGCAAGCTGCCAATACACCAGTTCGCTGTATTGTGGCATCTAAAAATATTGTCAGAGGCGAACGTATCTGCGTGGTGCCTCCGAAGTGTGTCCTGACGGGCAATCAGGCAGACAATCTTATTCGAGAAATATGTGACCGTGCTCAACGTTCATCTATAACTTTACCAGATTATACTAAATTAATATCTTCTATTCATAATGTAGACGAAGGTGCACCGGAGTTATTGCTGACGCGTGATGGTCTCCTGCTCACCCTTCTGCTGTTTTTGCTACGAAACACACGTTACGCTAGTCTGCTTCCATCAGACCATGCACTCCGTCTGTGGGCCCATAGTTTGCCACCCCAGGTGCCACCTTTAGGTCTGCTGCTCCGTCAACATTATGAGGGCACCTGTGAGCATACACCATTGCAACATCGACTTGTGATGAATAAAAACCTTACAACGGAGCTTCTTCCCACATCGGATGTAAAAGAGGAGGTTGGGAAGCTGATGGTTGCAGCGGTGGAGGCTGATGGTCTTGATACGTTGCGTACACCACACGTCGAGGTGGCAGTCACGGAAAGAATATTGTCCGATTTTTATAAGGGCAGATCAACCGCTTTGACGCAAAGACAACACGAAGTGGCTGTCGCACATGTGTTGCGCCACACAAACAGCGCATCTTTAAAGCATCTCATCCACATGGAATATCAGCTTCACATGGACCTAGTTCTGCCGCTTCTGAAGTCACTAGGCGTGTATGACCTCTGTGATGACGATGCTGTACCCCAAGAGGACTTGGCATGTCTGCGTTGGGCTCATTTTATGATGCGCTCAAGAGTAGTGAATATTTGTTGGCGTCGCAACTCTCCGCGGATGGCGTTGGTCCCTTTTCTAGATCGTCTGAATCACTCACATAGTCGGGCAAATATCGTTTATTTTCAGGACCCGTTTGACAAAGCTGTGGTAGTGACCGCCTCCAGGCCCATTCCTGCGGGTGAAGAGCTGGTCATGCAATATAGTAATTACGGTCAGCGTGGGTGTCTTTTTGGTGATGCATCTCCTAGTTGGAATACTGCCACGGCGCCAGAGACCCTAGGTTATCAAAATACCAACCGTGTTTCTTCACACCAAAAAGATGTTATACAGCAAGTTCGTGCAATCGAGGCAAAACAGAGGAGAGAGATGTATGTTGATGATGACGCCACCACCACCTTAAGTGAAAGCCGCTTTTTCGATCCTGTCCACAGCGGATGTGTCGCCAAAAGTGAGCTCTCTCAGGTGAAGTTGGCCCAACATGAAGCTGTGATTGAATCAACTTGGTTGTGGCGCTATGGATTTATCCGCAGCGATACCGAGAAATCATACGAAGCGTCTCATAAATGGAGCAATGGGTTGCGCAATCGCATTGCCGATCTTACAGACGTGCGGCGTAAAGGACGCCCAGGGGAATTTGTGATTGGAGTGCCAGAAGGTCTAGGACATCTACGAGCTCAGCGGGAGGCTCTGGAACGGGAGTGGTACAACAACACACGTATTTTTCCACCACAGCAAGCTTAACAGTTAGATCAGGGCTACAAATTGCAGTATGTAATTACTATTTGTAAGGAGAAATATGAATAGCGAAGGGTTTGCCGTTTTTCTGAGTATATGTTCACCTTCTCATTACTACGAACGAATGGGGAAAATGTAAACTCTCTATATTCTTTCTTCTTCCATCTTTTTGGTCAGAGCCATGGGACTTGTAGGGTACAATGCACATTTTTTTTACCACAACCTTTGTGACCCTTTCTCCCTTTTTTTAATCCAATAAGTGGAGAGATAAATAAGCGTATGAAATTCAAAGAATAGCTGACTCTTTTCGTAATTCTTTTTTTCCGGGTAGATTAAACAGAATATGAACTTCGATCTCAGTCATGTTGCATTACTTTTTCAAGTTCGACTCAAGTAGCCCTTTTAATACTCTAAAAAATGCTATCGGTACCGATCTAATTGTTAATTTAATTCATTTCAGGAAAACTTATTAGTCTTGAAATATTAACAATTATCAAAGTTCTTGAGGTTATTAGTCACTAAAAAAATTCTCAAAGAGAGTCCTGTGGATTATGCGATTTAGTGCAGTATTACCTCTGCTTTTGTATACGCTGTGAATATTTTTAGAATATTTGATGAAGTGAAGGACTTTTCACATGAGCTAATGCGTTACGTAAATTTAACTTGTTGTACAAGTTCACTTCAGCGTTTGTGTTCATTGAAACTGTATTGATGGAAATGGTTGACTATAGGTGCTTATCCTTATTGTTCAGATATTGGGCTAACATTAGCCTTGGGTCAATTTAACGTGCTTGAATTGACAAAAAAAGTATTTTTTTTTGTGTAGACATCAGTGTGTATGTGGGATGATGGCATTCATGGGTAATCGTGAGATGCTTTTGTGACTACTTCTTGTGTCTTCCCCTTTATCTAAAATTTGACATTGTGGTAATATATATCTATTTTCTTTTATGTCTTTAGTGATTGTGCTGTGCTTATTATTAATATTTGATCAGCCCCAGAAAAACTATTAAAAAGCTAACCCAAAGCTTATTTTTATAAACCAAAGCCAATATTCAATTATAATTTCCCTTTAAAAATGTTAAGCCGTCGCGCTGCTGCATTGATTAGTGGAGGCTTGTTGCCTGTAATTTCTTTTCGTGCTTCCACTACAAAGGTCAAGACATCCCAGTCTTCGAATTCCGTCACCAGGAGCAAAACATGGGGATGGGGCAGTAATGAACTCAACAAACTCAGTTTCCTTGACATGGCAGAGACATACTCAAAGAAAAGGGATGAGTTATATATTCGTGAATATGGACACGGCACCCCAGTATGGTCGGTTGATGACGTGCAAAAAGTTCAGATTAACCATAGGAAGCCTAAGGGTCTGAGCGACCATATTGCATATTGTGCCGTACGAATTATGCGGTGGTCATTTGATACCTTCTCTATGTATCGTATTGGCCGTGTGACTGAGCGTAAAGTGGTTAATCGCTGTCTTTTCCTCGAAACTGTGGCAGGCGTGCCGGGAATGGTGGGCGGCATGCTGCGCCATTTAAAGTCGTTGCGTCGCATGGAGCGCGATCAGGGTTGGATCCAGACCCTTCTTGACGAAGCAGAGAACGAGCGTATGCACTTGATGACCTTCATCGAGATGCGACAACCTGGACTTTTCTTCCGTATGTGTGTTTTGGCTGCACAAGGGATCATGTTCAACTTGCTATTGGTATTGTACATGCTATGTCCGCGATTTGTGCACCGCTTTGTGGGTTATCTTGAAGAGGAGGCTGTCATCACCTATACGTCAATATTGGAGCACTTGGACAAGGGTGAGCTTGGAGGGATCAGCTCTCATGTACCTCAAATTGCCAAGGAGTACTGGAGTTTACCCAACGATGCCTCTTTCCGAGACCTGATTGCGGTAATTCGCGCTGATGAGGCAGAACATCGGATTGTGAACCATACATTTGCTGACATGCACCTCCACCGCTTGGAGAATTCTGCTAATCCTTTTAATATACTCAAAGAAACAGGAGGTGAAAAGTCTCAGTAAAATAAAAAAGAAAACGTTTTTTAAATTTTATTTGGAATTTGTTTAGTCATTTGTTTTTTCTCTTTCGATTTTGGTATACATGTGAATTTTTTTTGTAGTTCAATGTCGACATCAACTCATGAATAATTTTTACAATCTACAATATTAAACGTGGTGGGAGAGTAAACTGTTTAGGAAAAATGTTCTTCTAAGTAAAATAGAAACTATTTTTCATATTTATCACATTAGTGACATATATTTGGTGTTATATACTTATTTATATATTTATATATATATATATATATATATAGATAGATATATGTATGTTTTGTTACTCTATACAATTTCATACAAGGCGATTT